TGAAGGCTGCCACAGGACAACAATAAAGTACTTTATAGTATAGGCTGGCCTAGGATGGATTATTCGCAGCATACACCGCTCCCTATAGCTATTTCCAGATTTCGTATTGTTTACTATGCTGCCGTCATCGATTATTTTATGTAAATTGTTGATATAGTAGCAGTAAATATTGCTATGTACTTACTGGACTCAGCTGGTCTGATTTATGCACTATAGGAATGAGTGTTGAGCTGGCGAATGAGTCATAATGCTGGCATGATAGGTTGCGCATCGCATATACAAATCAACAGTATCTAATCGGATTGACGAAAGTGTGGTATGAATAATCTACGAAGAGGGACTGTTCACCTGTAGGAACACCAAACCAACCACCCCATGTATGTGTACTAGTTTATTCACTTACTCGTATTACATTTACTGCTACTTTTCATCTATTGCTCACAGAATTGACTTTTATTGACATCCTCTAGGCAATCAGTTGCTTACATTGGTACCTATGAATCGCCATCATTTCTCTCTGTTTTTGCTGCCCTCAGGATTCCTAGAAGAATAACCCCAAAATGGTCATCATAAGAGATTTTGTAGGCACACTGCATTGCATAATAGACTGCTTATTTTCTGGGTAATCGATTGCTTACATTGTCTCCTGTGAGGGGCCATCGTTTCCCTGTTTTTGCCACCCTCTGGATTTCTAGGAGAACATATTCACCTGCATAATTGATTACTTATTTTCTGGGTAATTGATTGCTTACTTTGTCTTCTGTGAGAGGCCATCGTTTCCCTGTTTTTGCCACCCTCTGGATTTCTAGGAGAACATACCTCAGAATGTGTTAGTCAAACATTTGAAAAGCAGCAGTTGTGAAAGTTGTAGTAAGGCAAAGAAAATGGTGGAGTGACTTCGAACTACTTATTTCTGAAGTACCTTTGATGAGAAAATGAACTCTAAGCTGAGCGGTTTACTCTTTAGATCAAATATTTGTGTGTGTTTCTGAAATTAGTCCTATTACAGAAATTCAGATAGTCTGACGGGTCGAAAGGTTGGCAATGGATCAAGTGGGAACGCTGACCTCATATGGCTCAGCCTCGGAAAATCGTTTTCTGAAATTAATGCACGCCAAATACTTCTTCGCTTCCGAAGGGAGCTGAATCGCAGATAGCCTTAGTGAAGGCATCTGCACACCTCAATAGTCGAATTGCTCAAACGCTGTGTGACGGAGGCTTCCTTCTCGTTTAATTCGTGGTGTGGTTGTACAGATCATTAAGTTCAGACCTCAGACTACTGTGACCTAGTCCAACATAGTTCTAATCATGCACTAACACAGTCCGTCATGAACATGATGGGTTGAGCTACGGCATGGGAATCTTGAGACGGTGGTACTTCATCTCGGGTACGCTTATAAAAACCCTTTCGACGATATAGCGTTGCGTGTTTGTGAGCACGTTAAAGATCTTGGACTTTACGTAAATTCAGATCTATGTTCCGAACGCCGCATCAATATGGTTTTGCTAAGAGCATTCAGGGCCTTTTCACCATGCTCAAAAACATTCGTGACAATGAAGTCTCAGTGTTTCTGGATCAGTGCGGATGTTATGTTCTTCCGATACAAAAGTATACTTTCTTTAATCTGGCATGAGTTCCTCAATGTAGGGTCACAGATGTGGATACCCTATATCAGGAATCTTCAAGCAAGATTTGAGAAAGTTCGGTAAACCTTTATGAAAGCACAGATGCTACTCCAGCCCCACGTGCCCTGCTTGTATGCTTGATTGCAGTGAAGTTTTAGATCGCCCTAGGCCGAAGACGGCTTCTCTATAGACGAGTTTTAAATGGCATTGTCTTTGATTTCAATTTTGCTCGGAGGCGAAATGATCTTGAAGTCAAGCAAGCACCGGGTGTTAAAACCTTGCGGGAGGGGTACCCGAATGTTCTCCATACCCTGTCTCAGCTAGTTAGGAAACAACGACAGAATTTTGTTAGTTTTTGATCTTTGGCTTAAGTTGCTATCTTCTGAGATTCTAGAGACTGGAAGAGTTAACGTATCCGAAAGGAAGTTAGGGAAGTGAATCTTTTCTTACTACTGACTTCTGAGAATCAATGATATGCAGGCCTACACTTTGAATTATTTTTATCTCTTATCTACTTGCGATATTAAACTTACTGTTTCATATGATAAATAAAATTTAATGCCTGGTGAAGAAGATCTCTACATAGGAATCCTGCGACGTGATCCAATCTACGAAAATCCGTTATGGATCTGGAATGTGGTTCAGGGCTCAGTTCTAGACTGAAGTTGAAATGTAAACTGGTCTGAAGCGGGGTTATTAGAGCTAGAGAATACCCGATACCCGAAAAGTTTGTTTTAGGTTCCACGTGTGTATTCCATGCTTTCTGAAAGTGGCGTTATCCCCAACGCCATCTCCCAACTGAGTTTTCATTGCAACTAACTTGGTTGCATCTACTTTTTATGGGTTTGAAGAGACGCTGACCAACCTGAATGAGGTTGCTTCGATATTGTCGTTGATATTTCGCCTTTCTGGATCTGTTTGAGCGCACCGCTGCGTGCATCGAAAAAAAAATAACGCGATTCAAATGTGGCCTCGTTTAATGGTACCTCGAAGTACGCTCAGTTCAGGAGTAATGTAATTAGCAATCCGCTTCTGATTCTACCGCGACGATGGGGCAGATCATTGGTCTTCGTTCAACGAACAGCTTACAGCGATAAGCCCTAAAAAACCCGCCCATAACTGAAGAATAATTGACTTCGTTTTTTCCAATGACGCTGTCTTTCATTGCAGTCTGAACGGGTTTATGTTATTCGAGTGTATCGGTATGTGGATCGCTAGCATTGTTGGAAGGTCGGCTAATAATTGGAAAAAGCTCGATTATAGGGCGTAAGCACAGCAGTTTTTTCTACGAAGTCGTAATGTCCCACTTTTACCGCCGGTGCCAGAGGATTGCTGTCTTCATCATTTCCTGACCTGCATCTTCCTCTTGTCTAAGAATTTTGTGAATACTTATTTGTTTGAATCGAACCCTCTTCATCTTTTACTTTCTGAGTAGGCGTGGAGTATACAGAGATGTGCAGGAGTGGGCACAAATCAGCCCTTATTGCTACTAACCAATAAAATGCCCTTTTTCTCGCGTGTGTTTGGCCGTCGCGCTGATTTGTTCTACTGAATATTATTACTTTTTAAAATACCAGTTGGGCTACGCACGCTAATGCGCGCACCACATGCACACTACCGCTTAACTACGACTTGTTATAGGACCAATATGAACAGTATCGGTTGACTTCCCATTTGATAACTGTTTCCTCACCACGCTTACTTGACATGCGCACTCTTCGGTGAGCCTAAGTGAGGAAGGGCGCACAAACGTGCATACAAACAGACACACAAAATTACCGCTCTATGTATAGAGACAGTCGGACGCCCGCCCTATGCCGGCCCTCCCCCCCCCCTNTTTCGGAACATGAAGCTCGATAGAGGAACAATAGGGCATGCAAACGATATCCAAAATGTGCCGATGCCTATGCCTTTGATTAGAACTGTCTGTCTCTATCTATCGCTGTTGATCTTAAAAATAATGACCCATTGAAGATTTAAGAGGTAGGCACAAATGGTGGTCACGAATGGTACTCACAAATGTTGTCGAGTCATAATAATACCATTATCAAATGTCTTTATGAATGCAGCTCCTTTCCTCTATACATCATTAAATGAGAACCCGAGACCCTTAGCGGTCGGATAAGTTTTGCTATGAATGATATCAAAGTAGAAAGAAGCCGTGATCCTTCACTGAATCGCGAGCTTCGCTGGGTAGCGGTCGTAAGCAAGAAAAGAACCAAATTTCATAATCGGTCCCCATCAGTGCACTTACCCGTCTTGTCGAACGAAACATATCAGAGAATCAAAGCTAAAGCGTAAACTACAAAGGGAT